AAGATACATTTTACCGCATATATTTAGAATATTTCGGTACGGGTTTACCCAGTGAAGGTGTACGTCTTGATCACAAATTCGTCTGGGTTGTAATACGATGTTATATTTCATTGGATATGGCTTAATAAAAACTTACCAGAGTAACTATTGTCTATGATATTTAATAATATTGTCCTTTACCGAAGAGATCTCTTCACTGTAACTTCTTTTCTTTGTTATTATGAATTCAAAGTAGCAAAAATATATTTAAAGAGACAAGATATTTTCTAATAGTTGTATTCAATTTTTATAAATTTTTATTTTAGAAATTTTTGAAATGGAATGGAATCGCTTAACAAAGAAAAAAAATATTTAAAATATAACAAAATATCATTAAATAAAAAATTTATAAATGGATTAGATTCTATACTGATACTGATTGGATTTAATCAAACGGCACAATCATATACATTTTTTTTGGTTACATCAACGTTTTGAAACTAATAAGAACTAAATGTAGTCTTTTCGGTGAACCCGATCCCGAAACCGTATTGCTTAATAAGGAATAAGGAATAAGGAATACAACAATAATGTTCACTAGTTGAAGACTACAAACTCTAAATCAAAGCTTATAAAGCAACCGCAACAATTCACGAAAAAATCAGATAAGGATCGAATAAAAAGTGAGTAAATCAATCTATATTTTCGCTGAACTAAAAAAATGTATAATTAATTATTTTATTGGTTACTTATATTGTATGTGTATTGTTGCCTGGCTTCTGAAAAAGTGATTACAGACCTCCTGTTATAACGCGATATCTTCATTTTCGCGGATTTAAGTAACCAGTGTTCCATGATTAGACTATATTTAATGATGACATCTTGAAAAATTTAAATTTTAATTCTTCCCACTGAATTAAAGCTGTACCACATTGGCTAAATGAACTCTGTGTGTGAATATGTTCTTTCTTGATTCCATCGTTCACCTACATTAATAAGAAATATTTATTTCTGTTTATGACTTCTAAGATTGCAGATTGCTAAATCATCACCAACCTATTCTAGTTTAAACGATTAAAGATGAAGTCAATTCTCACAGTTAAATATTAATCAGTATTTGATTCGTTCGTCTGAAGTTAGTCTGTAGTTAATACAATTTTCAATCTGTAGCATTAGTAATTAAGAGCTCGTAATCAATCGCTCATTTTTACTTTTTCATAAGTTTGAAACCTTTGATGTAAAATAACACCCCTGAGTCATTACACGCGCAATAGACCAAAATATAAGGTGTTGTATATAAAAGGTATTCTCATATCTATATAGTCAATTTCACGTCCAATTAAATTGTTAATCATGAGGTTGTAGTGATCAGAATTGAAGTTTGTCTGATCAACAACACTGCCAGATCAAACACCATACAGCGCCACACTGTGACTTTTTGTCGATGGATTTAAATCTAAATACTCCATATCCAAATTTAAGTTTGTCAAGTGAAGAAAATTCGATGCGGATTGTTTTTTCCATTTGTAATACAAGTTTATTCAGTTTTGACATAATAAGCGGTTATTAAAAGATCTATATAATGAAACATGCAATGCAGTTATAAGTTGGATATGAGTTCTGTTTGACAAATAACACTGACACAGTACTATAAAATGAAGAGTATACAGTAGATAATCCTTTGTGTGTCCAAATGATTCTTTATTCTTTTAAGGTCATCCAAAAAATTTGATTTGTTTAACTGTTTTATATGAATCTCTTTATTGTCTAATCGGTGCTCTCCTGTTCCAAATTAGTAACTACTAAACAAATTTTTCAGATTTAAAAACAGAAAATAGTAATTAAACGCTAACTTCGAGTTAAATGATGGATATTAAAGCAATTTGAAGTAAAATTCATGAAGTTTAACAATAGAAGCTACGTACATTTGCACGGCAAGGCATCAACTTGATGGAAGAACATACCTGACAAATTTAGAATATTTTAAACTTTTTTTTTGAATGGATGCCTTAGTTTTAAAAATTTACTTTATTTAAACCAATACCATTGGAGAATGGAATTGGTATATACCAACATTAATAATATTTAGTGTTTGTTTTAATAATGTCATTATAAATATTATCTTTCATTGTTTGTATATTATATTGTCGAATACTTACATCCAAATTGTACTTGTACCGGAACTAAGGGCAATATATTTATGTTGAAGTTAATGTGAAGAAACTCTAATATATATCAAAGTATTTATTGAAATTTTCAATATTCCGAAAAACTCTTTATGAATTTGAATGTCCCACAAAAGTGCCTTACAAATGTTTGAAAGTACGGTTAGTACCAAACTATTTGAAGACATACCATATTTATATAATCAAATAATATTCAAATATATATGGACATGTATTTTCGATTTTTTCTTTTTATTTATGTTAAAATGATATTTAGATAACGACGCCTAAAAATGTATTGAACATCCATGCTTTACCGTTGGAGGAATGTACGAGTGCATTTATTATAACGAGAAAGCCAGTCTTGTTGATAACAATGGGTCAATGGATCATTGTCGAGTTTCTCCAAATATCTTATAAAGGACATAATCGCTTTTAACATTGATTGCAGTTTCGCGGACTTCATCGTCGAGGCTATCACCTGCCAATTACTGAGGTTGGGACTTCTGGAAATGCAAAAGCACATACGAAATAAAAATGTGTTTAATATCAAAAATAATTAAACCGAAAGATGTCAGGGTGTATACGTGAGTATAGGACTTTAATATATATTAAATAGAATTTATTATCATTTAACATTTTTAATAATATTATTAGAAAAGAATTTAATATAATAATTTTAAACAATTTTTGAGAACACAATTCGTAAATTGCATATTTTTCGATTTGTTTGTAGTTATCTATTCTATATTATTAATTTTAAAATATGTATTTCATATTCATTTGACAACTTTTCTAATAATATAACAGCTTCATTGCTTCCCGATCCAACTGATTGGCTCTATTTGCAGGTTTAACTGGAGCTGCGATCTATTTAGTGTAGTTATTTTTGAACTTAGCTTACTCGATTGTCGTTTTTGACTACAGTAGACAAACCATTTGCCTGAAAGGTAATATATAATCTCAATATAACTTATTATGCTGAAGCCATACATTAAAGACATTATGCCACCAAAACGATCTGTAAAGAGAATACTATTTAAATTTATTTTAAAGAAATAGTTTTATTAATGTTCAAAACACAAACATGTGTATATATATCTCAATCCATGACCTATTGTCATAAATAATTCAAATTGGTGCATGAAAAGAAACACATTATGAGAATATGGACAGAGATCAATTTTCAATATTCACCCAGATACATGGTGTTAAAGAAAAATCTACTTGAAAAGGAATAACTCTTCATAAAATGTTTCATCTGTATTACTAATTGAAAGAGTTTGGAACTAATGCTGATTTAAATACGATTTTGTTTAAGTTTTGGCGAAATTTTGGAATATCTCATAAAGCTCAAAATTACACAGATTTTTTTTAATTGACCTCTGAAATGTCAAACCACTTTTTTCGACGAAAACACCATGACAATGCTCAAGTTTATAAGGTGTATAAGCGCCTTATAAATGTGTATTGGTTTATTTTTATAGAAAATATAGACGACAGTTTTTGACTAAATGTTTAATGAAGTAAATTTTTCTATGGTACCCTATATTCCATAAAGTATTATTGATAGCATATTTATATATACGACGAAAGTTAATTGATATGTGCTTATGATACTGAGATATCAAGTATAAGTTGATCAATTTACTCACTTAGTAGGACAACCCAGCTGCTAACAACATTCGTTTCAGTAGCCTGAGCAAAGCGTTTTGCAAAAAACAATTTAATTACGGCTAGAGGTTGATCATTGTTTAAGTCCTTGCTGCAAATATTTATGGTAACGGAATTTAAAATTCGATTAAATCTTATGCACATAATAGCACTTACAGTAGACCATGACTGTAGCTTGTTCCGTAACGCGACACAACTCTTCGTAATGGTAGATCGTTGACAGATACATCGAAGTTAACACCTTTGCATGTGGGCAAACAGTGAGCACAACTGTTCGTTGTAGACTTAGATTGACTACTCTGGTTATCCACATAATCAAAATAGTTAAAATTATACCACAGCTTTTTCCACTTGGTTAAACAAGGTACATCCAAAAGGTTACATACGCTCGCATTAATAATGTATGTTGGCCAAGGTGCATTTACACATCCACAGTAGTCTACCATGCTTTTCATACGGCAAATTAATAAGCATTCATCCAGTGAGTAATATGACCTAAAACGTCATAAATATACGTAGATACTATCAGAACGATATAAATGATAAGATTGCTTTTTAAATAGATTGCAATTTGTACTGAATTTCGTGGTGGTTTTGTTACAATGTATTCTGACCTTACCTCATCCGATTGAATCGATCCCCTTTAGGAACATGACACTCATTTAATTAACTTTTATTAATAATTTGTAGTATATATCTATATTTTACATAGTCTTGGTTTTTCATCGGAAGTTAGTTATTCATCTAAATGGTTCTGCCATTCAAGCAGCAGGGTTGGATACTTGCTCCGTATTTTCTTCTCTTTAGTATTCGTAGTCTACTTTTTCTTTCTGACTACACTACCAAACTAGCACATATCAAGTCCCATACATTACAATATCCACCTTAAATCACAAAGAAACAAACCAATAAATTGACCTAAATGTATTCTTCACGTCAGATAGGTCATATAGGGAGACCTTAGATAAATTCTGTAGTAAGCTTTTAGGTCAGACAAAAATTGAAAACTTGTTAATATTCTGCTCTATTACTACATTTACCACAGATTCTTATTTTCTTAAATGTCAATCTTAATTTCAATATTTAAAACATTTAACTTCTTAATTATATATATACGGAATTCTGAAACTATGTATTAAATAACATTTTATATTATTTCTTAGAATTAAAATCAATTCCTACTGAAAGATATATAAGGACCACTACAAAAGTTTTTAAAAAAAAAAAATACTTGGGAGTCCATTTTGTTTTACATATTCGGACATCCGAAGTATGGATCAAACAGTTTCAATGAAAGAGAGTGATAAAAACGAATCATTGTTTATAGAGGCAATCATGTTAATTACTGTAATAGGCGATGCAATAAACAGATTAAGCTAATAGAGCTTTGTAATCAGACTTAGTAACTGATGCCTTATGACTTAAGGAATGTGATCGACAGACTCAAGGCGGTTCAATTCAAACACGAAACAATTTTTAAGTATCATCCTTTACGAAATGTTTTCTATTCAATTACTATTAAAACACCACTAACTTTTCCTAAACAAGATGGAATCGTTGGGATTGTCAATCCATTCTGATCGAAAAATTTAAAGTGAATCTGACATTAATGAACAAATCAAGCAAATCTAATGTCAAAGAAAATGCCAAAGAAAATGTAATCCAACATTTGGTAAAGCAGTTTGAAAATTTAAATCAAAATTCCAAATTAGTACAGAGTTAATAAATAATAGAAACTACAAAAACTGTGTTGTTACTTGTACCCCATCATTAGCATTATCATTATTTAATCATTATCTTATTTGCTCATTGCTTATTTTTATATCGTATATTAATATATTTTACTGGACTTCGGAGAGCACCCTTTGATGCATCCATTTAACGTCTATCTCGGAAGACTTGTGAAGATATATGAGTGCAATTCATTTCCGACAAAAAAAGACAATACCATTTTACTGTGAATAGTGCTAAAGAATGCATTTTTTTATTTATTTAGGAACACATATTACACGTTAGCAGTTTTAAAGTCAATTCTTTATAGAAATCCATATTTTTTATTTATTTTAATGTATGAACTAGCTTTTCAATAAAAAGAATATTTAATTTGAGTTGTCTTCGTACGATTTTTTTTGCAATTTTGACAACTATTAATTAATTTGGTTTAATCTTCTTTATAGAGTCTGTAAAAGTATATACTACAAAAATGACTATTTCATCAGAAAATAATAGTGAGACTTACAGCGGATAGTAGATCGATTGTTTATAGTAAATATAAAATAAAATAGGATTCATAATACTATATTGAGCTACTCCCGTTAAGCTTTCATGATATTTGGATTATTAATCTCAATGTTTGTTTAGGAGTTTTTGAGATAAAATTTGATATGCCAAAGGCAGTGATATTCCTGCGAAAGTCAAGGAACGAAAGAATCCAATGTTTTTTTGTTTAAATGCGCAGATTGGATATATTTAACAAATTTCTG